TCGGTTCTTTTAACGTTATATTGTGGATATATGGATGTATGTAAATGTTGGAAGCGCGTGTCCATGTAATGGAAGTTGATAGTTATGTAATTGCGTTTTTGCAAACCTGTGCTATGTAAGGTCTTTTTAAGATAGATATTTCTAAGATCTTCTTCCTTTTTCCTGACATTATAAATATTTTACTATTTATGAAATTTGATCTTCAGAAATCGCGATTTTCCCTTCATAATGTATTCCTGTACCGATGCATATTTTCGCGTGTTAAGAATACTTGTCCGACCTTCTTTCGAGTAACGGCACTGAATTGGAGATTCTGAGATCACGTGCGGATACCGTATGGTCGCCCCCCAATCAGCTTTCGGCGAGAGTGCTTTGCCGCGATTTCTCATCACTATTCACACGCGCTGCAGGACGGCGTATGATTTTCCGTGGTGGTCGAGTATATGGGCACCAGCCGTAATGTTGGTCGGTCGACCGGAACGTGGTTTCCATATCGGTTATCGGCGTCGGGGTGGCGGTGCATACATATCGTCCGAGCGCGGGTTCTCAAAAATTGATGAGAGGGCTGGATCGCCGCCACGCGAAAACTAGATGTATCCAGGTGCCGCATCTCGTATTCATGGTGGTTTGCGTGGTGCAGGCGGAACCATCGGATCGGGGAAAAAATGGAAAAATCAAGTATCACAACACAGGCAAATCGTCATAGGAACGCAAAAAATTGAGTTCGGTCGCTATTAACATGGTATTTATTATGGAGATAATATTTCGTAAGGAGACGGATCTTCTTTGTTGTTTTAAATGCATCATAACAATACAATAATATGAATACAGTATGAATATAGTGTGACTGGCACATATTAATATACGGAAATATTATTTATTATATAGAATTTCAAGCGCTGGTATTCTTTAATAAATTTTTTTCTCGATGAAAGAGCTTCATATGTGATATGTGTTGTATACATTGTATAGATTATTACGAATTTGATAATGTGTTATTTGATTAATGTGTGTTGATATAAATGTTTATATAAATGTTTATGTAAATAGAAGTTGTATACGAACAATTGTTTGCATTATTGTTGAATCATTAACTTTTGAGAAATAAATTCCTCATCATTGCTTCATATAGATTACTGCGTGCTGAGATAAAAAAGGTCATCATCAAAAAACATAAAAAAAATAATTTATTACTAAATCAGTTTATTTTTAAAATAGTTATTTAATTGGAATGGAATTTTATTTTAACCCGTTTTATTTTAAAGATCGATATATCGATTACAATATATGGCCATACGTGACGAGATTGGCGTAGTTGTGCACAGCGTCCCTGTCGGAAAGCCACATCCATTAAAGCAAGGGGCCGGAGTGCGGTTAAACTACCGCAAAGCACCGAAATGTCAGCATTAATATTGCAACCGTCTCTTGCAACCGCCTGCTAGTGGTCGCTTCTATGCTTATTATACTTATTGTATTGTGCTATCGGACTTAAATATTAAAATCTCGTTTCGTCTACGGCACGTATACCTGCCATAACGACGTGCTAGATTGATCGAGTTTTATGAATTAATTGACTTATTCGAGGACATATTTCAAGATTTTATATCGGCGAATCATTTAACGAATTTTGTAAGATTGAATTGATTTAAAAGCTTTGAAGCTATTTAAATTTTCTAACATTTTCTTTAATAGGAAAGTTTGCTCATTCTTATTTCATCGCTCGTTATTCATCAACATCCGATGCGACTTAACTGATCGCGTTAAATGAAAAGGAAGAAGTCGATCCATCCAATCGAAAATCGGTCTTTGGCGAAACGAGATTGTAATTGCGAGATAATAGCGGACTCGACACGCTTCCGTCTTACGTCGGGCGCTTGACGAGCAGGCACCTGTCCATAGCATTCGATTTATCGACACAGGTGTGACATGTTGCAATGAATGAAGCTGATAATGGTGCGTGCATGAGTGCACCTCGCTTCAAGGTATATAAGCCTGCCCTTTATGAATACCGAGGTGCGGTGAATATCCGGGACGGTAGTCACAGACACGCGATTCCAGCCAGTGCGGACGTGTCGAATTAATAAGTGAAAAAGTGAGGGCCGACAACGTCGTGCCGTACTTCAGAATTAATGTACGGCCACGGAAATCTCAGCTGGTTGCGTGAAAAGAAATCGATTGCTCTGAGGAATGAGAAAAAAGCAAATCTGCCCTAGAAACAAGTACGTTTCTAGAGCAAATCCTGTGTATTTTGGTGCGTATGATGGTGTGTATTGTGCGAAGATTGCTCTATACAAATTACGAAATTTATAATTATGTGAAATTTATAATTATGTTAAAGTTACATGTTATACGTTTATACATATATATGTATTAAAATAGTGCCCCGCTTTTTACTGTATTTTTATATCTTTCTTGTGATTTCTTGTGTGCCTACAAGGAAAAGTGTTACATTGAAGCGGAAATTTATCAACTATTATTAAACTTTCAATATTTCATGAAGACCGTTTCGTGTCGCTTAAGACTGGCTTTACAACGCAAAATACATAATTTATACATAAATATCATGATTAATACACAAATATTACGCATAATTCTCATCTTATACGGCATGGAAACAGAGAAGAAGAGAGAAAGCGGTAGTAGGATCATATTCGTTCGCGTGATATGTGCAATGGGGCAAAAAGTGCATGTGCAAACCGTAACTTCTTTACGGCTCTCCGGAGAGTCGTCGAACGACGAAGGTGCATCGTATTTATCCGCGTTCGTTCCTATTTAAAGGGATGGGTGGGCATCCTTTCGACAGCCGGTATTTCATTTTGACAAATCGTCGCGCTCGTTGATGTCTACCATTAAACGAGAATTTTGCGAAGCTTCTGTACTGGTATAAAAGAGCCACGCGAGTGCGAAAAGTCTTGACAAACATTAAAATATGTTGAAAAACTTGTAGCTATATTTTTCTATATATATATATATATATATCGACAAAGTCTATGATGAAAATTAATGCACATGAATGCATAATTAGAGATAAAAAAATCAAATGCGCATGTCGTTTCTGAAAGGATCTTGTCATCAATGTTCTTTAATATCAGTCGAATCATCGTTCCTGGCTACTGATGAATTATGCATCGCACCTTCTCTCATGGTTCTTTTTTCTAAAAACTATAAGAATAATTGTTCCGAGCGATATTATACGAGCGCAAGAAAGAAGAAGAAGAGCTCGAGCTCCAGCTTATTCGCTCTAAGGTCACTCTTCATTTTTAATGCAAACGCGTACTAGTTTCTAGGAGTAGTCCTTCGCTTCGATAATGAAAACGATCTCGTTAAGGAACTCGCATTGTTCAGTGTAACGTCGACCTGGATATTTTAAAAGATATATAGACCGTCGGGTATAGCTGCAATATATAAACACAAAATAAAATCGAGCAAAGAAAACACATTATACTTTTAATTGCTACATCATTATTTATATACGCACATCTTGAAGAGCAAAGGAAATATTAAATACATAAAATATCAATCGGTATTAAGTTTGTTATGTGAGTAACGCATTACAATCTTTCAATATGTATGATGATCCAAATGTGAAAGTCAAGACTGTAAAATCCTTCCTATCCTTTCTACTGCGGTAATATCTACGTGATATTACCGTATAGTTCTTACTCCCGCTACTATTTTCCACATAGTAGTCGCGTATATCCGCCTATATTTGTGGCGGGTTATCCGGCGAGAGTATGTATTGAAATGTCGTCGTTCCGGGCAAATAAGACGGAGAAAAGGAAAGGTGGGATTATCTGAATACAGTCGTTTCAGGGGTGAGTTGCGACCCCCCAGGGGGTAGTAGGTGGTCGCCCCTGGGGTCTGCCGGACCCCCACGAACTCGTCCCTCTCCGTGTGACGTACGGTGGTCATCCTTGCGCCGAATTACCACCATCTTCCCTTTCTCGTCCTTCTTCGAGAAGGGTCCATCAAATAGATTATTTGAATATCGATCGATCGCATTTGCGGCGGGATAATAGTGTGCCGCCCTATTTTCGGAAAATTGCGATTGGCGAATGGCGCGACGCCCCGCCATGCGTCACGATGATCGCTTGCGTTTTAGCATAATTCGACCCGCAGCCTGATTGATAAATGCGACTCTGATGCTATCGCGACCGTCCAGCTCTCTTGATCCCCTCTGTTTTAATCAGAACAGATGTAGGTTTTCGCTGAGTAGAACTGCATGCTATTTGTAACACGACCGTAAAAAAAAATATTGAAGAGCATAAGAGACGATGTTTGGCAAAAATAAATTCGCATTTAAATAATATATATTTGATGTTAATTTAATTTATAATTTTTCTTATTAATTTTATTAACAAGAATAATAAATGTCATAAGAAATATATTATAGAGTACCGATTATCTTTTATACTGCTCTACTAAGATTTTTTGATGATTATTTCTTATATTATTTTATTTATATTTTTTACTATACAATTTTTATATATTTAATTTAAATAAAATAAGTAAAAATGAAAAAACAATTTTCAAAGATATAATTCAATGTTATCGTCATTGTATTTCTCCATCAAGGCTGTTATCTTTAAATATATATATATATAAGTATTAATATAATTTAAATAAAAGTACTTGCTAATTCAATTGAAACAAGAAATTCGGTATCGCGTACATCACTCTTACGGAAAATGAGTGATTTTGTTTTTTAATCGGCTTATAGCACAACATCGCTAACGAGGACCCGATCACATTTTTTGTTTTAGGTAGCGACGCACTCGGCCGAATCGATAAAGAGCCAGACTCGCCGGAATCCATACAAGGTGAGTTTTGCCGCTTGCCATCCATGTTCTTGATATGATTAACGTAAGATATCATTTAACTTTCGTTTACAGTGAACAATAATTTTCGTGCAAAAATATAGTAGCAAAATGATGATAAATAAGAAAGAACGTTACATTTTGATAAAGGAATCCACACCGCCAATTTTTCGAATATTTCTTTTTTTCATCTAAAATATTAAAATTAATTAAATTAGTAAATTAAATTGAAATTAATTATTGCTATCTTAAGATCTTGATTTAGATCAGTTTAACTTTAATTTATGCAATATAACTTTTACATAAATATGTATTATATTCGGAAATTCTAAATTCTTAAAAATTATATAAGAATATTATTTGACAGTAATAATGCATATAATATATGAAATAATTAAATGTGAAAAAATAATAACTTTTTACATAGAAGCGACGGATTTTCTCATAAAATATATCATTTGCGAATTTTTGTATCTGTGAACAATTTTTCATTATTCGGAGATGTCAACTAATCTTTCCATGTAAAATATATAAATAAACTAACTGTGTTTTAATACTTTTAAACGAATTATTATACTTAGTCAATTGTACAGCAATTCATCATATTTCTTGAGAAATTCTTTCGTAGTGCATGACCAGTTTTTCAACTTTGGGAAAATATCCATATGCATCTATCAGAAGATGGATTTTTCCTGAGGATCATAAAAAGATTACCAAAAGCCCTTTGAAGGATAGGAAGGATAGGATAGTTTGTCCAAAGACTGAATTGCCGACAGTTTTCAGAAAAATTCAGTTCTTTCAGGACCTTTTTACGGTTTACAAAGTAGAACGAAGTGCTAAAAATGCAAATAGCAACTTGCCTCATACGATACCTACTAAATATAATAAAAAAAGAATCACACGCGTGCAAATTTCTAATGTTATATTGTATCGTGGGAAAGTTTCGGTTAGAGCTGCGTGACCATTGTAGCAAATAGAAATTCGAGGGAACCAATCGGCCATATTATATATCCTATATAATTTTGTTTATGGATTCCACAGAGCCGAAAATTTATATATAATAATTATTTATTAATTATAACAAATTTATATTATTTTATAAAATTTTAGAATTATATAGTTTATCATGAAACGTACATTTTACATGAGCATGAAAGTACTAGATCGCAATTAATATATAGTAAATACACTGTCACAATTTAAAATATGGCCTGTCGATTAGATTATCGCGTGTTCGACAAAACAAACTTTTGTATAATAAACTTAATAAGGAGAATCGTTAGTTCCATGAACGTGCGTTTCGAGAACGACGGGGCAAACTTGAAGGGTGTCACGCGTCACGAGATCTGTCATGTATCGTTGTTCGCAGAAAGCTCGATAATGAGGAAGATGACAGAACAGACCGAATGCCGCCAAATGGCTGCATCTGCAAAACTAAGAAACTTGATGCGCGTTTAAGCTACAATGTAATCCTGTAGATACTCTTGTAATTATCAATACATAACGGCCACGCAAAACTCTTGTTACCATATTAATCTTTTATTATTTGATAAATATTAAGAGAGTACAATATATCATATATTCCTAATATTAACGTTATTTATATATTAAAACTAATTAATTGATTACGAGAGAAATAAAATACGTGATTGTCATTAGGGAAAAAACGTTGATTCAAAGCTCAAACGAGACAACAAGCTAACTATGATTCTCGAGAGTTAAAATGAAATAGGCGAATGAACAGAAACTAACAAAGGTAGAGAGCTAGCTGACAAAAAATCCGCGGTTGGACCGGCCTCTCGGAAATGCCGAACCGGTCGTAAACAGAGGGCTCGCGCCCCTTCGCGAACGATGCTTCTCGTAGAAGTATCACAACGAAAAGAACGGGCAAGTCGAACGAAGAAGGAAAAAAGAAACGATCGGTAAATAGAAACGTGGTACGAGAGGCGAGGACGAGATCCGATAGAACCCGGCCGGAGGGAGTGAAGGGGATGGGATGAAGGACATCGTCGCCGACCTGTGTTTTACTTTATAGCATTTAGTCCGTTGTTTGTCTTATTGCTATTAGCCTCCGTCAATTAGTAATTGCATTTTTAATGCCGATTCCGTGAATCGGGTCCACCGACTCGGCAGCTCGACGCGGGCAGCGCGGGGGCCCCAACCTTGGTGGTTTGCGAGCCCGGACGAACGTCTTAGTGGGGAGAAGCTGTGTCGGTCGGTAGGCACTGGTCGCTGCTGCCAGGAAGGGGGCATGTCATTAGGAGTCATTAATATCGCGGACCTCTGTAATTTAACACACTTCCGATCGCCTAGCGCCGCCACCACCACCACTACCACCACCACCACCACCCGCTCCATTTTTCTCCCTTGTCTTCGCGTCTTTCGAACGTTTCGCGACCGCTCGCCCCGCGGCCACCACATCAGGGTCCACCTTGTATTCCTTTTTGCGCTTTCCTGCGAATCACCATGTCAGACAGAACGAATTGTCGATGAAACATTGCATCACGGCGTGTTAGTCATGTCATTTCGCGTAGTAGTCAGTGACTCTCAAAAAAAACATTTTTGAAAAATATTGTGGAAAAATTTTTAATAAGTCGCATGGGTTTTCCGAAATTTATTGCGAATATTTCATATTTAGTTTAAGATAGCTTAAGTCTGATTACTAATAAAATCATAAGATGAATCACAAGATTTTACATAAAGATAAATCTTATGCTATTATAAAGCTTTAATTCTTCAACAGCGATTGAAAGATATATTAATATTAATCCAAAAAAATAGTTTGCCGCTTATTACATAGTTAATTATCAATGTTAGATTATTCATACGCTTATATATATAAGCGCTATGTACTCAAGACGCAATTATGTCTTATTAAGCCGTCACAGTGAGATGTAGTGCTCAGCCGATACGTGTCCGATTACGAAATCATGTCCGAGCGGATACAGTCGCTTAGTAATGCAGCTGCGATTAATATGATCCGCGGATGCTAATCGAGCTTCTAATCGTTTATTCTCGCATCGTACCAGCACACCTGTTCGACCGATATGGTCAGACTAGGGATTCTTTTAACGTCGACTTCTGCAAGATCTTTTGAGCGGTCACGTTACTCATCATACTTTCTAATGTGCTAGCAGAAGCTTTTTATTTTCATAACGAAATGATGTCAGTTGCCATTAACTTCGAGTCAAAGAAATCGCTTTGATCTATGAAATCAAAGAGAGAGCAAGTCGTCACAATACTTATTTTATTCAGTTTCAGCGAACATCTAATGATATCTTCTTGAACTTCTTGAATATAATAAAAGAAATGTAAAAGAATTTTTCAAATACTCTTTAAGCTATAATAATTTTTTATTATGTTATAAATTGTTATGAAAATTAATATCTATATAAATGCATAATGATCATTAATGCTATTAACGCTATTAACGCTATTAACGCTATTAAAATGATTATTTCTTATAATAATTACTGAAATATTATAATTTTTTCATATTTTGTGAATAAGCTGAGAACGGTTCGTAATGTCACTGATTTCAAAGCATTTGAAAAATTGCCTTTGCATTTATCTTGAATTAAAGTAAAGGACGAAAATCGAAATAATGATGGAAATCCTGAAGGGCTGAATGGGGATCGATTTTGACATGCAAACGATTTTCGCGATAAACTCGCTTGAAGACTGTTCATTCATGCAGGCACGGACGATAGTATATCTTCCTAGTGACTTTGTTATTCAAAACACTCGTTGGGCCGAAGCGACTGTGGAAAATCGCTTTTGAATGTTAAAATGTTTTTCTAACTTTTTTGCAGAAATTCTATCTTTCATATTTTGCGTCCAGTCTAAAGACTGGCATAAATGTCTAAGTTCATACTAACTCGTAATAATCTGATTCTAATTGTTCGAAATTTGTTTATTTTATATTTTATTAACAAATTTATAATTAATTATTATCCGGAAAAGTTATACTTTTTATTTAATCCTATTAATATTCTTTTCATTACATTTCCCTTTTTTTACTATATTTTTCTTGTTAGGATAAAATTAAGTTATCCAGCAGGTTAAACTATATTTTTTGTTTGTAATAATTTATAAAAATATATTTGAGAAATTATAGTGATAATTATTATAATTAATAAAAATTTTCTGTTTAAAAAATCACGCTTTTGGGAAGCTGTGTCGAAGAGTTATATCTTAAGATATATTTCGATCGAGTTAGTTTGCTTTGTTATTCGGATCGAAGGGACGTGGTCTTCTTTTGAATATAGAGAAGCCTTTCCCTTCAAGCTTTTCGGGATTCATGTGTCACGATCGCAGCTAGAACGGAGCAAATTCAAATTTCGCGATGGGATTTCTTGAGGATTTTCAGATTTTTATCGTTGATATCCATCGGTGAATATCTTGCAAGTGAAATATGCTAATTCCGCTAGAATACTGACTGCAGTATTGATTTCTTTCTACTTGCCCACATTGTTTATTGGCATACATTTGCAAAAATGTATACGTACATATTGACCAAGCGTTATTAACATTACGCAATATGGAAAATCGATTTCGAATATTTTGTCTATTATTTTTATAACTCCATATACAAAGCTATGAATCGCATAATTTTAATTAAGTTTAAATGTTTAAAAAATCTGGAAAATTACATGTTGTTTAATAAAACTTGGAAAATCATGTATATAACAAAATATCTTTTAAGTATCTTACATAAGAATACGCGACTCGTTCGTGTGAGGCGCAAGTTGGGATACGTGTATACGTCGTTAGAGGTCTAATCGCGTAAGTGGAAATGAAAACGAGTACAGCGATCCTTTCTAAGAACGAAGGATTGTAGGACGAAGATGAGCGTACTCGCGGATGAAGAACCGAGCAACGGATTCGCGAAGCAAACGGGCTCGACGAGATGTTTTCTCCCTCGGCCGGTGTGCATTTCTCACGACTCGAGAACGACTTCCGTCCTTCGTTCTTGTTCCCTCTCAGAGAACGGGCAAACAGTC